GGTAACAATGCTCGAAAAGAATTGGATTCATTACCTTGCTCATGTAACTGTACAGTATCTTTAAAATAAAAAATGTATATTTAAAATATATTAAAAATTACTGTAAATTTTCATTCTGGTGAAATCATCTTTTTAAAAGTGGTGACTTGCCAAGAATTTAATCTCTCCTTTGGTATTCATTATTTATTTGAGTATGTACATCCTGTCTGAAACCTCCCACTAAAATCTAGGCTCCCTGATGTATCTGTATATAAAACAGAGCCTGGTACCCAGTATGTGTTCATTTAGTTGAATAAAAAGGCTGAGAAAATGATTTAACAAACAATTTAACAAAATATCTTTCACTTAATAGCTGTCTTTGTGTGGCATTATCAAAGCCTAGTGAATATTTTGGAATAAAAGTAGTAGAAAATCTCACACAGGACATATAAAACATAAATATTTAACATTTTTTTCTTTTATAACTTGTTTTTGTAGTGCTGGTAACCAAGACAAGTACTCTACCACTGAGCTACAGCCCCAGCTTCTTAAAATTTTATTAGACTATCACAACCACACAAATAATGAGACAGAAAACTGACAAGAAGATTTGAGACCTTTCATCTGCAGAGAAAGTATCTCAAGCTCAAATCTGGTCAACAAGCATCAAAAACTGCAGAGACCCTCAACTGGATGCTGGCAGCTGATGACTATAATCCTAGGAACTCAAGAAATTAAGACTATGTTTTGAAGCCAACCAAGGAAGTCCATCTCCAAAACAAACAGCAAAAAACAGGGCTAGAAATGTGGCTCAAATGGTAGAGCACTAGCTGAGGGAAAAAAAAAAAGGAAGTTCAAAGCCCTGAGTTCAAGCAAAATTTTTTTTAAAATTCTTCTTTAGTTGTTTGTTTTTAAACATACTCTCCTGGTTTCCCCCTTGTCAGCACCTCTTTATTAGGTTGTTTCTCTTGATTTCACCCAAGCATTTCAAGCTTTAACTACTGGTCACACAAGTTGTATTTCCAATCACAACTTTCTTCTTATTTCTAGAAGCATTTACTCAACTGTCTTCCAAATCTCCACTTAGATTTATCACCAACATCTGTAATATCCCAATGAACTTCTGCCATCTTCTTTGCTCAAGATTTTTATCCCCCCCCCCCATATTGTTTATCTGTGAAAAGCCCACGTTCCAAAACTTGCAGCTTCCCACACCCCAAACTCATGGGTCATCTTAGCCACCTCCTTTGTGTGTCTGTGTGTGTGCCAGTAGTGGGGCTTGAACTTGGAGCCTGGGTACTACCCCTTAGTTTTTTTCACTCAAGGCTAGAGCTCTACCACTTGAGCCACAGCTCCACTTTTAGCATTTGGTGGTGGTTAACTGGAGATAAGAGTCTCAGGGATAGTCCTGCCAGGGCTGACTTGAAATCATGAGCCTTAGATCTCAGCGTCAGCCTCTGACTAGCTAGGATTATAGGTATGAGCTACTAGCAGCATCCCACTCAATCACAGGTCAAGTTAGTTTCCAAGCCCTATCAAATTTCTTTCTCACTAGCTCATGAGTATGCCCTCTCTCTGCTGCTTTCATGGAGGTGTCGTCGTCATTGTCGTTGTCGTCGTCGTCGTCGTCATCATCATCATCATCCTCCTCCTCATCATGATCCCCGTGAGTTCTTATGATCACCCTCTAGTGTCTCAGGCCTCAGGCTTCAAACCACTATAACCATCCATCACTTAGTGGTTGACAAGACCCTTGGCAAGCTAGCACCTCTGGGTGGATCTCCTGCCTCATTTCCCATCACCTCCCTATTATACTATATCAAACTGTATGATTTCATTCCCCCAAATGCCTACTCAATTTAAACACCCCCTTCATCAGCATAGCTAGAACTTTTATCTGAGTTTGTACCTTCCTTTATGATGCACCTATAATAAAAGTTGTCCTGAGCTGGGGATACAGCTTTACTACTAACACAGGATTTATCACACAGTGTTTCTCTCATTTAATTTTAAGTTACTTGAGGATTGAGACTATCCTTCCTTGAATAGCCACATGCACAACCCTTAAAATGTATGAGCCTGGCTCAGGTGGCATGGGCCTGTAAGCCTAGATTTTCAGGAGGCTGAGACCTGGAGGATCATGATCAGTCCAGGCAGAAAAGTTTGAGGGACTCATCTCCAATTAACCAGCAAAATTACAGACTGGAGGTGGCTCATTAAACAAGAAAGCCAAGTAAGAGTACAAGATCCTGAGTTTAACACTGCACTCACATTTTTTTAAGGGTATTTGATAAATACTTGCTGAATAACTCTCTGAATTGAGTTTAATACCTTTTCTACATGAGGGCATGACTGGAGTCCTTTAGTCAAGTACCAGCTAGCTAGGCAAAAAGACTGAGTCTAAGAGTTCAAATCTAGCCTAGGTAACACAGTGAGAATCCATCTCAAAAAAAAAGTAATCAAGCTTTTATGTAAACAAGAACTTTTATTGTCTTGGTAGTATTTGCTAGATAGATGCTTTACTCCTCGAACCACAACCCCAGCCCATGTAAAAGATGAAGTCTAACAAGACACTATGTGTCTTGGGGGGGAGAGGGGGGCGATGGAGGAGTTGGGGAGGTGGGGAAGGAAGGGATGGTAAGGGGGAAAAAAGGAGGGGCAACAATGCTCAAGAGGAAATGTACTCATTACCTTACTCATTAACTGTAACCCCTCTGTACAGCATCTTTACAATATAAAATATAAAAAAATAATATAAAATAAAAAGATGAAGTCTCATGAACAGTACCCACAACCGGGATAAAGCAATTTGCCAAGAAGAAACATTTAATCATTTTCTAAAATTAACCAACATCATAAGCTGCTGACTTCTAAATATCTGAAGAGGTATAACTGAAGAGATATATATGTACAGTGTGTACCTGGCTAAAATTCTGGTCATCTTTTCAATAATACTTTTCAGTTCTGCTACTTTTTATGTTGGTCAAGAAACAAACTCATTCTTTCCTTTTTTGTGTGTGTGCCAGTCCTGGGGCTTGAACTCTAGGCCTGGGGGCACTATCCCTAAGCTTCTCTTGCACAAGGCTAGTGCTCTACCACTTGAGCCACAGCTCCACTTCTGGCTTTTCTGATAGTTAGCAGAGATATGAGTCTCATGGACTTTCCTGCCCAGGCTGGCTTTGAACTGAGATTCTCAGATCTCACCTTCCTACATAGCTAGGATTCCAGGAGTGAGCCTCCTGTACTTGGCTTCTTTTTTTGGCAGTCCTATGGATGGAATCCAGGGCTTCACAAATAGTAACTGTCTAAAGTTATGACTCCAGCCCCAAGAAAGGATCTTAACTGGTTTTATTTAGCCCAGAATTGGACAACACTTCATTCCATAAAATGGAGTCAACTTTCCCCACTCTGCTCTTCTTAACACCCCAAGAGAAAATGAAATCACCCTGCTTTCTCCACCGCCATGTATGACTTTACACACGTGATTATGCTTGAAACACAAGTACAAAATAGCTTAAAGCTACAGTTGATCAGAAATCTTAACACAAATATAACCATCACCTCCTCTACCAAAACAAAGTTATTAAAAAACAGCATACTATTAACCTTTTCAAAAGAGATATTAAGCCGGGGGCTGGTGACTTATGCCTGTAATCCTAGCTACTCAGGAGGCTGAGATCTGAGGATCTCGGTTCAGTCCCGGCATTATCTCCATTATCTCATTATCTCCAATGAACCACTAGAAAACCGCGAAGTGACCCAGTGCTCTCGAGCAGAAGAGCTCAGGGAGGTCGCCCAAGCCACAGGACTGACCAAAAAACAAAAACAAAAACAAAAAACAAAAAAAAACACCACAAAACAAAACTATATTAACAGAATAGATCTGGTCATATATATACATATATCTGTCAACCCCTGTAGGGTGGGGGGATTTTCACATTGAGACTTTGTGACCCCTGGATTCACTGGTTAAATAGAATCGTTGGTAATCCAACAGAACTTCACTTATTTTCCTGGTTCCAAAGACTAAAACCAAGGACTTTTCCATGATGGAAATTACTGAGTAAAGCCATATTCAGATCCTATGATAGAACTGGCATTTGGCCAAACAATAAAAATGAAAGAAAAATAATGCCCGTGATTTCTTAGGAGTTGACCCTCTTTATAACCATTACTTAATCAACTTCTAAACAACATACACCCACAAAGTCCCGCAGCAGACATGTAAATCGAGTCAATTCCGGTCAAGGTATGGACCCATACCTTACACATAAGTAAGAGGGGGGAGAGAGGGTGAGCTTTTTAAAATTAAAACTACGCTTTTGAAATGTTCTGTGTCTTGCCAAATTCTGGTGATCGCGTCTGAATTATACGGATTTGACTAAATTCTATTAAGCCAAGTCATCTCACTGGTATTTCTAGCTCTTCACTTTTCTAATCCAGGAGGAACCTGAACAACCACTTGGTGCTTTTTGTAGACCTAAGATGAGACAAATAGGATTCCAGAACTCTTCCATCAGGGATACTGAGGGGGAGGGGGGGTACGAGGTGAACGCATCTGAAGCAGAGCTTACAAGGTAGGGCATAGCAAGGGCTTGAAACGAGGAAATAAAGCAACAAAGGGCTTCACAAAAGAAAATCCTGCAACCTTCCGCCACCTCCCAAAGGAGAGCGCCAGAATTCCCGGCGACCCGGCGCCAGCGCCGCCAGCGCAGAGGAGCCGCGGCCGCGCACCGGACCCGCTCCCCGCACACGCCCCGGACCCGCTCCCGGCCCACGCCCCAAGAGGGAGCCAGGCCGGGACCCCTGCCCCGCACCCCAAGCGCAGAAAGAGGCTCAGCACCCTCCGCCCGCCCGCCGGCCGCGGCGCCGCACTCCCCGGGGCCGGGCTTCTCCGCCCCGCTCCGCGCGGCGCAGGCCGCGCCCCCTCCCCGCCGCGCTACCCCGGCACGCTCTGAGCCGAAGGACCCCGCAACGGACGCGTGCGAGACACCGGGAGCCCCCGCCCTGGCATCACTCACACAGCCAGAGCGCCGCCACAAGCCCCGAGCACAGCCAGCGCCTGCGGTGCGAGGTTGCCATCAACGCCCCGAGTCGGGCGGACGCTGCCATCGTCCTCTGGGTGCACCGGCCCCGCGCCGCTGGGCCCGGGTCCGCACCGCACTCGGCTCGCAGGACTCGGCAGCTCGAGCGGCGGCTCCACCACGCCAAGATTCCCCGCTGGAGGCCCCGGTGGCTGTAAGCCAGCGGTTCGCCCAGCCCCAGCCTCGGCCCGGCCCCACCCGGCCCCAACAGCCCTCTCATTGGCCAGCCTGGCCCTTTGTGAAGCATGTTATTGGGCGAACTGGTTGTCCCTCAGTTCTCTCGTCTGAGAGTTCCCGCCTTATCGGTCCCACCCTCCGTATCCCAGCGCTGCAGGCCTGGGGCCCGGCGCTTCCCGAGGCTGTGTCCGTCCTCATAGCCCGCCTGCCTGCGTGGCGTCCGCCTGTGGGTCTCGTGGGCCCGGCCTCCCCCAGGGTCTCCTCTGCCGCCCGAGGGTCCAGCACTAGAGGCTTTTCCATTATCGGTGCTCACCGATCTTTGCAAGGTCCCGACCTTGCCGCAGTTTCAGCATTGATTCTTTTCTCCTAGCCTGACCTAAAGAGTAGTTCATTTAGCATAGAAAGAGAATGAGGGAAGGACTGGGGGGAGGGAAGGAAGGGAGGGAAATGTGGGGGGTTAGTGGGAGAATGAGAAATGGGGGAGATGGTAGGGAGGTATGGAGATTCCGGAGAGACTAATGATTCTGTCTAGAACCCACCAACTCCTTGTCCTGTCTTACTAGTAAGGTTTCTCCTTCCTTTGCTCAGACTGGATAATTTGTTGCAGTGTGAGAAATTGCTCATTTAAAAACACCCCACAGTATAACCCCTGCTTTCACTGTAAAAAATAAAATAAAAGAGTTGGATATGAAAAAAATAAAATAAAAACAAGTCTCTCACGCCTGTAATCCTAGCTACTGAGGAGGCTGAGATCTGAGGATCACGGTTCAAAGCCAGCCCAGGCAGAAAAGTCCGTGAGACTCTTATCTCCAATAAACCACTAGAAAGCCAGAAGATTAATTGTAACCCCTCTGTAGAGTATGTTCTCAAATAAAATTAAATTAAATTAAAAAAAAAAAAAAAAGAAAGCCAGAAGTTGTTCTGTGGCTCAGGCGGTACAGCCCTTGCCTTGAGCTGAAGAGTGCAAGGACATTGGGGCTGGGAAGATGGCTCAGTGGTAGAGTGTTTGCCTTGCATGCCTGAGGCCCTGGGTTTGATTCCTCAGCACCACATAAGAAAAAAGCCAGAGTGGCGCTGTGGCTCAAGTGGTAGAGCGCTAGCCTTGAGCTAAAGAGCTGAGGGACAGTGCCTAGGCCCAGAGTTCAGGCCCCACGTCCAGACCCAAATAAATAAATAAAAAGAAGCTTTGGCCCTTTTATAAAAAAAAAAAAAAAAAAAGAGTGCAAGGACAGCGCCCAAACCCAGAGTTCAAGCCCCACGACCGAAAAAAAAGCAAACACACACACACACACACACACACACACACACACACACACACACACACACAAGTCTCCATCTTGCAGGTCAAGGCTCCTCTTCTGAGGAGCCCCTTTTAGGCTTGGCCAGACAGCCGCCCAAATTGGAACCCTCTCCCACTATAATGAACACAAACGGATGTGTTTTTCTTGTTCTTTTTGCCTTTGTTGGTCCAAAGTCCTTCTCTTTATATCAATAATAATTGGGATCTGATCCTGGCCTGCTTTTGCTGATCCTGCTCAAAATGGTTAGCTTGGTCCAGGATGTTACAAACCCAACTAACACAGAAGAGTGTTTGAAAGGCATCCGAGACTAGAAGAGGGAAAAATAAAGACCCAAGCACAGGAAAAGACCAGAATGAGGAAAGCTCAGGAAAGATCCAAGAGGGATGAAGGTGAACAAGTTTTGGACATTTAGGACAAAAGTGGAGAAACCCCTAAATGCAACTCCTCACTTGGGAGATTTTTGTCTAAACACATTCTGATCTGTGCTGGGTTAGCATATTAGATTTGCACTACAACAAACTCTTAATTACCTCATGATTCATGAGAAAAAAACAGAAAATCCTATCAAAACATACGGCTCTATTTTTCCCAGGGGGTCTTTCTGAAGTGTCTGCAATACTACATGTGGAAAATGATACAAATGCATTAACTGAACTGAACATACAGAATACCTAAACTCACTTTCAAAAATGATGTCATGCGGGGCGCCGGTGGCTCACGCCTGTAATCCTAGCTGCTCCAGAGGCTGAGATCTGAGGATGGCGGTTCAAAGCCAGCCCGGGCAGGAAAATCCGTGAGACTCTTAACTCCAATAAACTACCAGAAAACCGGAAGTGGCTCTGTGTCTCAAGCGACAGAGCACTAGCCTTGAGCTGAAGAGCTGAAGGAGAGCACCCAAGCACAGAGTTCGAGACCCCCTGATTACTCAATTACAAAAAAAGAAGAAGAAGAAGAAAAAGCAGCAGCAGCAAGGCGCTCATTGATCACACCTATAATCCTAGCTGAGATGTGAGGATCAGGATTTCAAAACCAACCCAGGCAGGAAAGTCCATGAGACTCTTACCTCCAACTAGCCAGAAAGTGGAGGTCTAACTTAAGCGGTAGCGTGCCCGCTTTGAGTGAAAAAAAGCCAAGCAAGCAAACCAGGTTCCAAGTAAAAGCACTAAGCCTGCACAAAACCCAAAACAGCACAAAAACCAAAACAAAACAAAAAAGCCAGAGAACAGAAAAGCATGGGCCAGGTATGAGAAACAGCTGGTTTGCATTTTCAGGGCATTGTAAGGAAAAGAGATGAATGTTGGAAATGTCGGTTGTGATCATATTTTGAAGTCTGCATTTATTCTGTAGGCAATTGTAACTGAAGAAGTGACAAGCTCAGATCTGTGAGATTTCTAATTTTTTTTTAATATTTTGATTCAATAAACAATATTCCACATTTATCACTTGAACACTTCATTCATTATAGATGCTGTATAATTGCATATTGTATTATTCTGCACTACCTGAACTTTTTTGGTGTATCTTTTTCCACTACAGGGCATCTCCATTTGTTCTATTGTTTCTTTTTTCCAGACTGTCAAGTTTAATAACGTTTTCTTCTTTTTCATGGTTTGTATTGTCTTTTCACCTCAGTATACTACCATTGTAGTATATTAAAATAATATACAAATACAAACATGAAAATTCAGTGTTGCTGGTACAGGGTATGATTTTTTTTAATGTACAAATGCACCAACATATAATGTTAAATAATGAAATAACTCATTTGAGGAAATATAAATTTTCCTTTAAAAATGTAAAGAATTATGAAAACAACTCCATAAATCAGCATAAAAATACATCAGAAAATAATGAATATACTAATATGGATGTAATTTATAAATTAATAACACAAATACAACATGCTAATAGGAAACTATGCCATCTTTTTTGTAAAGAATTTACTCTTTGTAAAGAATTTACACATCATGTGGGCCTTTTGCTAGCAACCAATGAACTATTAGGTATCCCTAGAGTTTGGGTCATTTCTTAGCAGCCTCTGCCCTTTCTAGCCTACTCACTTCCCATTCCCCATTTGAAGGGTGTTTGAGAGAATGCCACCTAGCTGCCATGTCCCAAAGTACATTCAAGAGGACAGGAGTTCGTTTTTCTAGGCAGTGGCTGCTGGGTCTTTAGATAATAATTATCTTCAACTCATCATTTGCATCAGTCTATAGAAGAAAAGGAAGGAGGGCTGATTACCCAAGCCTGCAACCTCTTGGTGGTGCTGGATATTGGGCAGCAGCAGCACCATCTACTCTGTGGTAGGACTGTCCAGGGGGCAAGGCACCCTACCCTCTCCTTAGGAAGACTCCACTTTGTCTTCAAGTTGCATCTCTTCAAAACCTTGCTCCTCCTCCATAACTTCCATCTTCACAGAGCCTGACAGGTCTCAAGTGGTTTCAGCAGCTGGGGTCTGGGTGGCTGCCAACATCTTGTCCTGGCACTCTGTGCCTTCACCCACAATGTGCAACAGCAGCTCCTGCAGCTTCTCCCTCTTCTCCTGGAAGAGCTGGTTGACAAACTCATCTTTCTCCTGATAGAGCTCATCCATGACTGCCATCTGTTCTTTATAGAATATATGGACTCTTCAGTGGCGCTGATGTGTTCTGACAGCTGGCTGCATCCATGTTGGAGGTCATCTACTTGATTCTGGCAATCCACCTTGTTGGGCAGGTCATGGACAAAGCAGATTTTCAGCTTCTTCTTGGAGACCTGTGTGTCCTGTTTCTTGTCCCCAGACATGCTGTGGTTCCAGCTCTTGGGGAAGAGGGCCTGGCGCTACAGCTTTCTCTGACACTGGGCTGCTAGGTTGACCAGGCACCTGCAGCGGGCCTGCTGCTCCTGCAGCTGCTGGCTGAGCTTCTCTTTCTTTGAGTCAGCCACTGCTAGCACTTCAAGGTAAAAATCCCACATGGTTTGTCTATGTCCTCTGGGACAGTCACATCAGGGGGAGTTGCCTCCTCACCCTTTTCTTCTTTGTTGCTCATTCTTTCACCTTCTCTAAGGAAACCCAGGAAGCTCAGCTGGGCCTGGGGCTGCTCATTCTGAAGTCTTGTTGCTGCCAAGCACTTCAATATGTCTTGCAACTTTTGAGGTACAGTCTGGTCCCCCAACTTGGTCTGCCTCTGCTCCTCCTTTACCTGCTCCAGCAGCTGGGTCTCTAGACCTCTTGGTCTCATGTTCCCTCTCCATTGTCTCAAAGCTCTTGTGCCAATCCTTGGCATGCTAATCCCATTCCATGGCCTTCTTCTCCAGTATCAGCAGCTGCTGCTGCTGCTCCAGGTTCTGGACCAAGGCTCTGGTTTTCCTGTATCTGACTGTGAAGTTGTTCCTTCAGGTTCTTGAGCTCCTTCTGCATCTGATGGGCCTGGGCATGCAGCTGCTGCTCAGCCTGAAATGGCTCTGCAGGAAGCTGCAGGGGCAGCAGCTCTGATAGCTGCTTTCTCCGTTCCACCAGGTCCAGCATCTGCCTCACCCTTGTTCTTTTCCTTCTCTCAGTTGTCTCACTGCTCAAAGAGCTGCTGGACCTTCTCCTGCCATGTGGAGCTCTCCACCCTCCAACTTTAATGTTGTCATCAACTCTTTCATGCTGTCAAGTTGCCTTTCCAACTCTGCCCGCTCTTCTAGTATTCATTTTAACTCATGAATTTTGATTTTTATGT